TAATGCAGAAGAGAGCAAACTTATGATCTGACCTCACATCACTTAGTTTTGTCATACTTAAATACATAAATCTTATTGAATATTTAAAAACAAACCGGGCTGTCAGAATAAAAATGAAGGCCCTGTTATTACGAATTTATGACTTAGTAGTGGTTAGGAAAGGAAAGGTGAAACTAGAGAGACTTTTTTTTTTTAAATAAGACAGGTCCAAGAGAGTGAGCTTTGTGTTCAACTTCTTGTTATCCTAAGGAATTCTGAAAAAATTATTGTGTAGTAAGTCAGCAAAACCTACAATCAGGAAAAAACAAAAAACCAAAAAACCCTCCAGAGGATTTGAGTGTGTGCGCTAGATGGGGGGATGAAATTCAAATGTGCTGTACTGGCTGCCGAGCTTACTGTTTGACAGTAATAACGTGGTCCTATGATTACACTCATGTGATCCTCAGTGGTATTTAATAAAATTAATAATGTTTAATAAAATAGGGATATTTAAAAAACAAAAAAACACAGTGTACCTTAACATGCAGTTTTGATTGGCACGTTTCACGTGAGACAGGAGAGCTAGAGAAGTGCAGGAGTCAACGTGACACATACGAGAAATAAATGTAATAAAAGGTTCTAAACAATATTTGATTAAACTGTTAGGGGATAATGCTTGTGCCAAAAGCATAGATAGAAAAACAATCAAAAATGGAAAAATCCACCAAAACTTCCTAAAGGCAGGGTCTCATCCAGCAGGTTTGAAAGGTATCGATTCACATACACATAAAAAAAGTCTCCCTTTCTCCCATTTCTTCATTTCTCCAAAGTATCCACTCTTTGCCCCTATAGGAGACAGCGTGCAGGGACTGGTGGACACTTGTGTGTTTTCATGTTAAGCTTCAGCTGTAATCAGGCTTCCAGCAATCTAATGAATTCCGTTTGCTGGAAAGACGGAGCTTCAATGTGCCTAGCAGACTTTAGCCAACAGTAAATTAAGTCTAGATTATTTAATGCCCGTGGGAACAAATAAGGAATCTTAGAATTATTCTGCTCAGGCTAGCATCTTGAGCAGGTAAGGAGATAAACATTCTCTTTTAGCCCAAAGTCGCTTTTCAAACGTGAGCAACGGCCTTATTATCTTAATTAACTTCATCCCTTTGCAATACAGGAGTTAGCGCCGCCTTTTTTGTTAGTGCTGATTTCATTTCTGTGACAAAGGAGGAAGACCCTGTCTGGAAGGAGGGTCTGAAACTTCAAAGAGT